ATTCTTCCTTGTGCTCCGGACCGATTCTTTTGGAGTGAAGCGGTCTTTAACATATGATTGTTTATTGAACGTGGGCCTTTTTGGAGCTGCATGATCTTTGTGAGATGGTCTAAAATAAGATGAAGAATGTGCACTTGAATCATACCTGTCCCATGGTGAATATGGATAAAAATTAGCATAGGGAGGTATCCATGGCATTGGCATTGACGGCCCAAAATATGGATATGAATATGATTCATTGAAATTTCCCCTTTGCCAATGCCGGTCCTCAGATTTGCGCCTGCGGAATGATCTTGATGCTTTTAAATTACTTGGCCGATAAGTAATCTTCTCCTCACTTATCTTCTGATATTTTTCCAATAGCTGTGCGAAAGTGACTTTTGACTTTTTACCTTTGCGCTTACCTCGGCCTTTGCTTTCTTTGGTTGTGCTTGCATCGATCTTTGGATTTTCTTGTTGCCCCCCCAGTACTTGGCGTCTTCATTGCAACTTTGGTGGAATTTTCGCCCTCAAGAATATTATCATTGTGCTCTTGAACAACTTCCTTACTTGAAAGCTTGATCCCAATATCTGAAGTTTTTACTTTCTCATGTTTAAATGGACCAGCTTGAAGCAGCTGATGCAAAAACCGTTTGCCATCAGGACCAATCGGAATAGACCGGTCATCTCTTGGTGTCTCAACAAATTTCAGTCGTCCTTTGTCAATGGCCGATTTAACTATTTGACGAAACATATTGCAATCCTCAAAATTATGTTTGAACGAATGATGCAACCTACAATACATTCGTCCTTGAATTGATGGCTTGACATGGTGATCAAGAATTCTTATGTAATTATTTTTCAGCAACAAATCAAATATTTGATCACACATGCTTGAATTGAAGGTAAACTTTTTATTTTCTAGCCGATCTTGTTGTGAGAACGGCTTTGGAGTTAAGCAAACGAATGGTTCAGATTTTACGTCACCCCATTCGGCTATGCATTGTGTTTTGCATTCTATGTCCGATGTCTTTGAAAAACAAATTATACTATCATTGGTTTTCTCAATAGAGTATAACCTTGGCTTTAAATTTCTGAAATCAAAATAATTATAACATACGTGTCTCAATTGAGACCATGCGTAAGCCAAGTATGGAGCAAGCAAAGCTACCCAATTAAATATGAACTTCAAATAAAACAATGCGAAAAGCTTTGGCTGCAATAATAAGTCACTATCGGTCTCTTTGAATGGTACAATGTATTGACCGATATGCTTTGTAACAATTTTATTGCTAACAAGTAAATTAACCTTCATCATTGGTCTTTCAAAATTATTTATAAGATTTCTCCTAATAGATACATCAACAATAAAGTTGTGACCAAATCTGAAAATAGGTAAATCACTTGCTAGACATACCTCTTCATACACACTGGGAGAGCATGATGGTTGTATCACTTGAATAATACTTTGCTCCACTTTTGAATGAGTCTCTAATGCCTTGGCATCCTCTTTTTCTCCAATAGATTCGGTACACATGCTATTTGATTCGGCTTTTTCAATAACCGAATTTTCTTTGTTACCTGAATCAATACTTTTATATTTTTGAATTTGCAAGGCTTCTTGCTCTTGTCTAATTTTAGCCCACATCTCAGCTTGGCGACCTTTAAACTTTTTCATCGCAATTTCCATCAACTCCTCATGAATTGCCCCCAAATACTTTGAGGTTCTTTCAGCAATGAGGTGCCGACACTTTGCAATTGTTTAGGGGGTACACTGGATGGTACAACACTGGTCGAATGCATCATTTGCACAACTCTAGCTTTTACAATAGTAAAGTCATGAGGCCTCCGCCTTCTATTAGTTCCTGGCGAATATAGTTGCACAAATCCCAAGAGAATGTAAGCTTGTTCTCAATTACCCAGTCTGGATATAGTTGCCCCCCGATGCTTTTAGACTCTTTCGGCAATGAGATGTTGCCGAAATTCTATAGTTGTGTATGGGGAACATGATATTACATGGTAGTAGGTGAAGGCATTTGTGCTCCTGCAGAAGTTTCACTTATTCGGCCATAACCCTGAAGGTGCGGAGCCGAATTATGAATATCAACAGTTGCATATGGTGCCAAAAATTAGTAGCATGAGGTGTAGCATATGATGTTTGAGGGTAATTGACCGAATAACTAGTAGTAGTATGGCCAATTCCCCTATCCACCGGCATGTTTGGATTAACATACTGCAATATTTGCCGATGAATAAAAAGTTGGAACACTTTGTTGCATACTTTGGAAGTTCCTACATGTGGTGTCTCAACTTGATTAACTGAACTCATCATGTTGTTCATCGGCATATAGATTTGTGGGGTTGCCGATGCATGGGAGTTGGGATACATATGTTGCATGTTGCTAAAATTATATGAAGTTGGAGCATGAAGATTATTTTAAATCGGCTGTTGCGCATAATTAGATGCATGATTGATAAAACTAGGGCTAGCCGGCACATTATGCTCATTAAACGATCTAGCAACAACATACGCATTATTTGTATCTAAATAGTGAATTGGGTATTCATATTACCTTTGTAGATTACAAACCGTAGATGACGATCTCTTCGTAGCAAGAACGGGCTGGAGACCGCTCAAAGCTTCGTCCCCAGCGGAGTCGCCAATAAGTGTGTTCGCACACGAACATGTCACCGTGTACCTCCAACGCCGAGGGTGATGCACCGCAGCTTACGTCGAAGAAAACCCGTCTGGAAGCGCGGTGCGCAAGCAATCCGGCGGGCGCTTTTGTAGACCTGAAACCCCACACGTCCGGGAGAAACCCCGTCTGGGCGTGCGGCGGCTATGGGCTGCCCTAGGTCGACCTGATCACCCCCAGGGCCTTGAGGTTCGCCGCCCTGCAACAAGAAGAATGAACGAAGAACGAGGAAGAAGAACAAAGGCAGAATAAAAGTAAAGGTAAAAGTGGTAGATTGATTGTTCGATTGTGTGTTGTTTAATCGGCCGTCACCTCTCATCTATTTATGAACTCGGATTTAGGCAAGTCTGAGATAGCAGTTCGGTTTTTGGGTCTCACAAGCCACAAACGACCTCAGATGAAGATGCACCTAAAAGCAAATTTAACCGTTTCGACGAGACGAATAACTTTCGTGTTGAACGTTTTTTGATTTGAGGTCATCTTGAAGGCCTAATCGCCACCGCAAGCATCAGATTCGTGGAGATACACAATTTCGGTTCGGACTGTATTGTCCGCTCGACCGGACCAAACTGTCCGGTCAACACAGAAGGTTTTGACGTATTTATTGACCCAGACCGTACAGTCTGGTCCCAATTACCGGACAGTCTGGTAGCAACAGAAGGTTTTGGGCATCTGGCCATCTCCATGATTTCTGCAACATTGTGCGTTTTTGGCTCTAACTTTTGCATACAATCTCGGATTAAGACGATTTATATATTAAAATCATCTGTCTCGACGAGACGAAGAACTTTCATGTTGAAACTTTCTCCATCCAAGATCATCTTAATTGGGTTTTGTATCATGACAAAATCTGGTGTCAACAACATGTAAAAGAACCCACACATTTTAAGAATCAAATTTGATTGACAATCAGTGAAATAATATGTGGGGCATGGAATGGAAGTGGTATCATTGGATTTATATTTATAAGCATTTTCCAGTGATATCACTTTTTGTTTCACACATAAGGTGCATATTGCTCTGATTATTAGTCAAACTTGGATCTGTAGATGTGCGGCGTATTACGTGAAACTAAAGGCGGGAGTACCAAACACCAAACCAAGAATGTTTAAGGTTAGTTCCTAACTAGCACAACAGAGCACACATCCAGGAAAAGTGTACTATTGGGTGAGAAAGATGTATAGTTTGAGCTCTAACTGACGTGCATAGGCTACAAAAGTGACCACTAGAGTTGAAAAAATGCAGAGTGGAGCTTATTGGAGAGGGTCATTTTACATGCAACTAGTTGAAAAATGGATGGCGTCGGCGATGCCATATTCTCGAATATTGGGCCTTTCAAATAGCATTGTGAAATCAACCTTCTTTGTCATGCTATTTTCCAACTCAAGCCAATTGTGATGGCACTGAGTGAATTTGTGGAAAATAAATAAATTATAATAAGGCGGTAGGTATACGCTGTCTCAGTAGATGTATTTTATGGAAAAATGTTACCTAATTGATGCCTCAAAGCAGCTTTTATCAGTACCAACATGTCTCAGTCTTATATTTAAGGTTACCTTCTTTTTATCCATATTAAGGTTTGTGGAGGTATTAAGAGAATACATCAACTATATAAGATCATGCAATCACTTTAGTATTTCCAGTTCTGAGTAACCTCTAGATCTCTTTGGAAGCTCAGTTAAATGTTAGTGCAACCCTTTCTCATTGGCTCCCCGTATGTTGCATATATGTGAGCAACTATTAAATATCTCGGTTAATGAAAAAATAATTCCAGTCTATACTTTTTAAAAACTAAATATGTTATGGCCTCTTTGATTTCCAGGATTTTAATGCCGTAGGAATAGGAAAACCATAGGATTGCAGTGTCATGCCCATTTGAATCCTACATGATTTTTGTTTGTTTGATTGCATCACACAAAGGATTCTTTCCAAGTGGTTTGAATGGATGCTAAAATTCCTATGGAATGGTACAAAGGAATCCTTAGGAAAAAATCCTATAGGATTCAATCCTATGTCTCAAACGCCCAACATAGGAAAAATTCCTAACGATTCTAATCCTCCAAATACCTATGGAATTCCTTATAATCAAAGATACCCTTAATAATGACGGTAGACTAGCTATTGGTGGTACTCAAAATTTATTTTTCTCTGCCAAAGGTGCTTGTAATCTTAATAAACAGAAACCATCATAATAATCTTCATACCTAGCCATGTTATCTCATTTGTTTTCTTTGTTGGCCCATAACTGATGTGTATCTTGCTAGGCCTTGTTTGAGAAAAAAAGCAAATCAATATATAGCTTCTACTGATTAAGATATTGGGCAGGTGTGTACACCAGATGATGCTTGTAGAATTGGCAAAATAGGTGAGCTTTTTGTGTACGAGAACTTCGGACGCGTTCCAGTTGAATCTGTTAGTGCTGGTGACATTTGTGCTGTATGTGGAATCAATGATATCATGGTTGGTGCTCTTCATGTTCATTCATATATTTAGTATATATTTACCCTTATAACCTGTTCTGATTTTTTTTTAAACTTTGCAGATTGGGGAAACTATAGCTGATAAAGTTTCTGGAACAGCGTTGCCCACTATCAAAATTGAGGAACCAACAGTTAGAATGTCTTTCTCCATCAACACTTCACCTTTTGTTGGAAAAGAGGTGTCTCAAAAGTTAACTTTAACTTACAACATTGTATCCCTACTTTTTAGGATCTTCTGCTGGAATAAAAAGAGATTTGAAAACTGGCTAAGAGAATCTTAATTATAACGCTTTTGGTCCAAATGAGAGTAATGCTTGTACTGCACATTGTATGCCCATGTAGGTAAGCTAAATGGAAGTAGTACTACGCTTTCCTGAAACTGAAATGCTTAGGAAGTTGAAGTCAGTGTATTGCACGGATGTAAAGCTTTACTCCATTGTGTTCCAATGTGGTGGAAAATGATCCATTAATTATTAAAGCTCTTCTGTCAAGAATGGCCTATTCTAATTCAATAGTTTATAGTAAATTACAGTAGTTGAGTTTCTTCTTTCTTAGTGCTGAAACTATGTCTCTCTTTGGCTTTATCCCAGGGGAAATTTGTCACTAGCCGAAATCTTCGTGATAGGCTATATCGTGAGCTTGAAAGGAACTTGGCTATGAAAGTAGAAGACGGGGAAACTGCTGATACATTTCTTGTTAGTGGCAGAGGCACACTGCACCTCACCATATTGATAGAGAACATGTAAGAACTTCTAACCTTTCGACATTATCAGCCACTTGGTATGTTCTCTAATTTTGGTATTCTCTTTAATAATTGCTTATAGGCGGAGGGAAGGATATGAATTTATGATTGGACCTCCAAAGGTCATAAACAAGACAGTAAATGGAAAGCTATTGGAGCCATATGAGGTATTTCCCTCCCTAAATGACAAAACTGAAATTTTGTATATATTTGATTTGATAGGTATGTACCCATGCCTTGCCACGGGAGCCAAAACAATTTAATGTATAAAGGCTAGGTCTGTGTTAAGGTGGAAGGGGGCGTAATTCCACCTTATATGGCATGGGGCAGGAAGGAAGCACTAAGGGTTAGAATTTTGATTTTGGCGCCATTATAATTTGGTAGCCTAGGTCATGCATGCTAAGTAAATTAATGTGATTGAGCGGCGTACGGGAAGGTGTGGTAAAATATGGCGCGGAATTGAGCGGCGTAATTCCATGTTATTGCAAAAGGTAAGTCAATTAAGGTGGAGTTGATGTAGTGCTGCAAAAGGTAAGTAAATTAATGTGATTTGAGTGGCGTACTGGGAAGGTGCGGCCAAATATGACGTAGTGAAAAAAAACCGGCTGGATGAAAAAATAAGTGGAGGGATGTGGTGGGAGGGGTGGAACCGGTTGACGAAGAGTTCTACCTCGCAGGAAAAGGAATGCTACTTATTTTTTAAGTAGTAGAGATAAAGAGGTTCTTGGAGTGCCTAAACTTGCGCTCGATGGACACCCCCACAGAGGTGCTGCCCACAGTGTCCTTGTACAGTCCCATGAAGCACATGGTCACAAAGCTTGGCAGCCTCCTCGGCGACCTCCGCGCCAACACCCCGTTGCAATGCTGCATCTGGCTCGTGGCCACAACCAGGTACCAGGCCTACAACATAAGAGGCCCCGGGTAACAATGTATCGAAGAGATAAGGCCTCTAGGTTATACGAAGCATACATATAACACAAATCGATGGCTAGCACAGTGCCTATACACTAAGGGCCTGTTTGGTTGCCTGTATCCAGCCCAACCAGGCCCTGGCAGTGCAAAATTGGCCCGTTTGGTTGCTTGGGCTGCATTAGCTTCCTGGCCCACACGAACCATAAAGCAATCTTGGGCTAGGTTGAGCGGGAATGGCCAAATCGGCCATTTTTTCCAGAGCTACATGTGGCTCTCGCCTGCATGCCTGGGGAAGTGTAGGAGACGGATGGGAAGTCCCACCCCTCTCGCCTCATTGCCCAAACGCATTCACACCTCACTATTTCACCACCCCTTTGGTGCCTCCGATGACTTCTCCACCTCCACGCCGCCCCACACCCATTCCTGCCGACCCCGAGAACCGCAACCACTGGGTCGATG